GCACCTAGTTCGTGACGATGCTTCATTAGATAAGCTTTGTGCTTTTAACTTGCAGGGTCCAAATTGTGCGTTTTGGATGCCGCTTGACATGGCGTTGGTGAGCATTCACGTTTCCTGTCTGCAAGTGGTTCGACAAGGCGCCAATTATCCAAATTCAGAAGCTGAGTTCTTCCCACAGGCACCTTCAACACGTGTCAAATGTATCACACTGGCGCATTCACGAGAAGTGAGTGGTGGAGTGTGCTCGCACTTCGTCGACCGCCGTCAGCCACCAACCCCCACCACCACCTCACTCTTCAACTTTCACCATCTTCCTTCGCTTGACAAACACGAAGCCCATTGTACTCCCCGTGCTCCGTTGGAAGGCCTGCGTCAACAACTAGATTGTGACTTGCTAAAAATGGACAAAGAGGCATTCATGAATTGAGGGTTCGCGAAACCATTAAGACAATAACATTGTGTCCATGGCGGCTAGATCTTTCGTGGACGCAGGCTTACATCTACCAGTGGCGCCAAACTGGGGAATGCTAAGGCTTAGTAAGAAATGACTCTTGAAGTCGCTCAAACAATTCGGACGTGGTTCAACCACTACCACGACATCCGTGACACAATTACCTAAGGACAGGTTCCATGCGAAAACCCGCGTTTTACACAACAAGTAACATCGCTTTCACACAGTCCCTCCTTACTGAAATTGGCTGGCAGTCCAAAACAACATTCGTCCATGCCACCAATGCTGATTACGTGACACGCACTGGATTTGTAACAGCGCACTACGCTACATCTGACGACAATCGAACACATATTCCCACCACTCAGCGATCAGTTCAAGGCCACGTCGAATTTCTGAATGGACCGATTCCTCGTCAAAGGTCAGCTATCCCAGCAAAGCCACCCAACCACACCGTGCAAAACTGCCTGATTTTGACGCAGGCATCACCCACGTCCACGGGTTCACGACATCTTCTTGTTAACATACATACTGTGGCGCAATTCGGCTGTCTTTGTTAACAGCACCAACAGCATTTCAACCAACACAAATAACGGTTTAGTAACTGGCAGAACATGCATCCTGAAAGCATTCATGGGCACCTAATCATCATCATCACCATCACGTGTCCTCAGGACAATGGCATGTTACTTTCATCCTTCCACCGAGACCACCCCACTTCAACGGCCCACCACGCGTGACCGCGCGCATTCGTCAGGCGCTGCGGCCAATACCGTGAGTGCCCACTCACTCACGCACGCATGCACACACACGCACGCATCGAACTTACTGAGCTCTGGTTCGACGAGGAGGCCGTCAACCAATGGCCCTTGAGAAACGACGCCCACGAGATCGAACCCGCCACCACCGTCACAATCATTTGACTGCGAGGACACCATGAACAGGAACAACAGTAAGCTCTGCTGTAAATGTGCCCTTTCAACTGGTCTCAATTGGTTCTGACTACCTACCATTTAGCATGACGCTGATAGCAGTTATTGGAAACACTCCCAACTAAAAAGCAATACACGATGTCCTGCCATACGTGTGACACTTAAACTAACCTCTACCTCTCAATTTCAGGTGACAGGTTTTTCGACCGCTACACCGACGACGCCACGGGATCAGATTCACAAAACCCATAGAGGCTTTCCGCCCCTATTCAGTGAGGCCTCAAACAACCGGCGTGAGGCAGACCCGCCCACCCAGGCCAGCGCCTCCAACGGGGTGGGTCGGTTCTCCGGATTCGAAGACTCCGCTGCGGCCTTTCTTCACGAGGTCCTACGGCACCGAAATTCACCATCACTACTCGAGCAAACTGGTGATGTGCGAGCGGTAAGGATGGAAGACTACGACAAAAGAGTCTGTCCACACAACCGCTAGGCGTCCGTGCTGCTACGGCGTGGAAAGGTACGTGATGAAAGTGCACAAATTGCAGACAGGGCTGGTTCACACCGAGAAATGGGTGGTTTTAGGTTGGACGGCCAATATGCATCATGGGTTTGCCTCTTATGTATTGCGAAGTGAAACGGCAGTAGCAACAACAGTTGTTTCGTGAATGGGACTCTGTATAACCTTGCAATCCCATGACTCTACCTCTTTGTCGTCATGCAATCGAAGCGCATTCCATTTAATGGACATGCGCACTGCAGGCTGGATGGGATGGTGATTGTCCACAGCGGTTCCTCCTTGTACTCCATCTCTGGATAAAGCCTGTTAGTGTAGTTTCATAATCCACTTGTCAATTCCAGAAGTTCAACAGCTTTGCATTTCTCCAAGTTTTGACCAGTCGGAAACTGTAGACACTGCTGAAATTCAAGTTACAACTTGTGTTTTATGGGTTTTTAGGTTCTGTCAGCTCCATTCGACCTGGGAAGGTCCACGTCTCGTGTCTGCGGTAGCCGCCTCACGACACCGGGGAGGAGGTGGTGTAAGCAATCCACACGCAGTTACGAGACCTGGGTGCACGAGTGTGCGTGTACTGTCGTCCATTCTCCCCTTCTCTCCCCTCGTCGGCTCGATGCCCATTGTATACCCCGTTAGATGTTTTAATATGTAATTGACTACCACAACAATACAACTTGCAAAAATCTGGCCAAAGAAACTCTCTTCAATTGGGGGTGGGTGGCGCAAAAGTTGTGTGATTACAACATTATGTACATGGTATCTAGACGTTTGGTGGACGCAGGCTTACATCTAGGGTCGGCGCCGAATAGGAGGATGCTTAGTGTCCATAAGAAACGACAGTTGTAGTCGTTCACACGATTCGCGTATGATGCAGTCGTCACCACAACATCCGTCACACATAGGATCTAACGATGCCTTTTGCACAACAAGTAATCGGATGTATCGGAGTTACTGATTCACAGGATTGTCTGTTGGCGGCGGTTTAAAGTTACTTGCGGATGCAGCAATACACACACAAGCATACACACGCGCGCGCTCACAACACAACAGAAAATGCGGCACATGAGACAAACAGTACACAATTGTCACACGAGGCGAAGATGATTAGACGGCAACACCCGAAGCCTTGCCCCTGCCCAAAGTGTTGCAACGGTACCCACCTATATTCCGGCGCGCATCACATTCAAGTCTGACGAAAGAGGCTTCTGGTTGGGGCGATTACAGGTGACAGTTAAGCATCCCAGTGTCGTGGTAGACAGATTGCAATGGTGGTTGTGGTTATGGTGATGTGCCCTCATGCGCATCACACCTCCTACCTAGTTCGCTGCTATGCAGTGTGGCTGCTTTCAGTGAGGTCAAGAGAGCCGATAACACCAACTGAGGTGTAGGTGTGAAGCAAACCTTCTGCTATTGC